CAGGGTTGCAGGTTTTCTTCTTTGTAGAAACAGATACTGCAACAAAAGGAATTTTTGACAAATCTTATTTAAATCAATGGAATAGATTTGTACTGATTAGATACAGTATTACTTCTGTTAGTGGCATCTAATTGAAACCAGATTTGGCTAGATAATGCCCAAATAATAAGCTTAATAAAAAAATAATAATCGTTCCCAGAATAGTTGCCTGTAAATCAAGTAAGATAGCATCTATGCTGATACCAATTTGAAACTATTTAAACTCACCCAATCACCAGAGTTTAATGGGGAAAATATTATTTTGTTCACACTACTGAATAGCATATGAAAAACTTTATAACTGTTAAGCTCTATTGAGACTGTCATGCACAAAATGAAATTTATTGGATAATAAACAGATATCCAAGAGTGTTACATGGATCCTGATTTGTAAGTGTTTGCCTTCTTCAACCCCATCCTATTTCTCACTGGAGTGATGCTTTATGAAAATGCAGCATCATTCACTGGGTTACCAAGGAGGGAAATTGTGGTTGCCAGGAGGTGAGCCATCACTGCCATAGTAAGTCTTAGTTATTCCTGCAAATTAACTGCAATGTCCCATTTTTACCACTGGAGAATATGGGCCAATAATGGAGAAAGGACATTTTGGGAGGGCCCTGGATGTGAGGGTACAGCCTGGAAAAATCCTTTAACTGATCATGTAGTACCCTACCAATGCTTGTGCTATCCAAGTTCAAGTCTTGTATTATTTCATCAGCATCTTGATAATGCACATAATCACGATAAAATAGGGCCCCCATCTTCTAATGGTTGGACTGTGAAGCTTGAGTCTGTAGGTTCTGAGATGATTTCTGTCCCTGAAGATTAGAAAAAATCCGCTCAACCCCTTTTAAATTAAGATTTAAAAAGAAATCAGCAGCATGTAATTTTGGATAGCCATACCATATGTGTTTATACTTATCTTGTTTAATCCAGTTATTGATAGCATACTTTATAGGAAAATGAACTAGTTCAGGTGAGTTCATGAGATCAGTTGGAATGATCATAGCAGCATAATTAAAAGCAAATGCCAAGGCAACTGAAATATTTGTAAAGAGGCCCTTCTAGACTATCTCCTTAAGTGGGAAAGAAAATTTTAAGAGGCAAGAGATCATTTATATGGAATAACATACTGTTCTCCATCTGTGTCATGTACTACAAATAGAACGAAAGGATGAAATGATATAAGGAATCAAGAAGCTACAGTAATATCTAGTTGTGCTTGCACAGATGCCTATACTTTCATTCTATACATCCCTGAGCACAAGCAAAACTGATTTAGCCTACAATATGCCAAATTAGACTCAGAAGCCACTGCAATATTCTGCAATTGGTCCAAAGCTCAGGAGTCTCAACTCACATATGTAATAATTTTGTCCATGGGGCATCCCACCATCTCCATCATGTACATGCTTTGTACGAGCAATTTTTGTGACTTTTCAATGACTTATGTTTAGTTCTAATGGTCCCTACCTATGGAGCATTTGTGAAATACTCTTAAAGAAGATATTTTAAGAGATGTGTGCCTGTCACTGTCTCAAGCAGCAGTCTTGTGTCTTAATGTCCCATAACCTCTAGTGGGCTAGAACAAAACCCTTGCTGAAATTTTAAAATTGAGCTGCCTTAATTTTTATTTACAAAATATTCTGGAAATGCCTATTTTTTCTCCAGTTTTATATTTGTTCTTGCTATCCCATGCCACAATAAGTTAAGGCAGGAGTGAAGAATTTGTTCCATTCTCACCCTTTTTAAAACCATGTATTTCCTAATGCCTATAAGTCTTAAAAGAATGGAGTGAGAGCTCCTCTTGGAAGTCCGACTTATTGACATCCCAAATGGTAGATCAAAAATAATCTTCAAAACAAAACAAACTGACCCAACCTGAACAAATACATTATAGCTTAGAGCTATGGATGAACTAAGCTAGGATATGGTAGTGAATCACAGCTCAAGTATTGTGCCAAGAGTAAATTTAAGGTTTTTTTTTCCTGTACTGAATTTTCAGCAGAATCAGTTTCAGAGTTCATGCAAGTTACCTTTCCACATGTTAATCAATGATAAAGGATGAAAACATGACAAAAGGCAGTGGTATTGTATGTAGCTTATGCCACAGGTATTATCCATTAGGTACCAGCATAACCACATTGTAAGGTAGGCTTGTAAAACTAAGCATAAGTTCAACCCATGCTTGAGATGAGCATTTCACTTATTCACCACTGAATCCTTGCAGTATAAGGTAAGAAGTAGACTGAAAAGAATATGAGCCTCTTGTGGCTTCCATATACTTCTGCAGCTGAGAAAGCACTGTACCTAGGCAGCATTTCAAATTGCAATAGGTCTAGCTGCTAGAGAGTAATATTTTCCCATCAACTAGCTATCTTGAGCTTTGAGTCCAAGGAAAATGTGATATTCTTGAAACAGAAGCATTTCCTTGAATAAAGCTTTTCTGAGATTATACACACACACAGAGATCTGTAAACTGACTGCTTATCACCTAAACTTCCTCCACAGAACACATTTGATGAGTTAATACTAAACATTCACAGTTCCCTGGGAATAACCGTAAATGGAATGACAGGGCTGCTGGATTCAAGGTCCAAAGCTGTCAGAAAGCACTCAACAGCAGCTTCATTTTTGCCCTGAACATGAAGGACTTCTCCAAGGCTGTTCCAGGCTTTGTGGCTGGTACTCTGCACCTGGACTGCATCCTGCAGAACCTTCTGAGCCAGGTTTCTTCTCCCAAGCTTGTTGAGTACCAGTCCCTGCCAAGGAAAAGCAATCCAGTGTTAGCGCACAACAAAAGTTATTTGTTTGTTGAAGAAAAACAGATAGGAGAATAGGAAGATATCTGACAGTGAATCAGACCATTGCTGCATATTATCAAGGGCTCTCCAAGGTTAGGGCTATCTATCTAGGCTGCAAGATTCTTGACAGCCACTAGATGGTAGTGAGAGTAAGAGACTATAATTCTTGTGGTTGCCCAGAGTTTTGCAGGCTAGTTATGGTAGCTCTTTCCTGGATCTCACCCAGAATCTTCTTCAGACCTATTTGGTGATTCCAGGAACTAAACCTGGACACTATGAGCTGTACCACTGAGCTATAGCCCTTGTTCTAAAAGGCAGAGTCCAAGTATAATGACAAGATACTCAGAATGATTTCCTTAAACATAAGCAGTGTATTCATTAGCTTGTAACCTGATATTTATAGCTTTGTTAGTAAACTCCAGTTCCTCAAATGTTCATTCTAACTCTCCCTTGATACTTTTAAGAACCTTCGGGTCAGTGATAGAATGACTAAAAAGACTGAAAAATTCTCCAGTAATTTTTCCATGTCCTTCTACTTGATGTTGACTTGGGTCATAAGAACACAAATGGTGCACTGGACAAAAAGCATCTTATAGGAACTTCCCCCAAGCTTATGGAACATTTTGACTTTGGAATATTCACAGAGGTAAGAAGCATTGCTGTACTCTGAGACAGAAGTAGCTCTGAAGATAGAATAAAACCAGTATTCCCCAACCCAGTATTTTCCAGATGCATTAAGATTGTAAGTGCCAAGATCATTATCTTCCATAATGCATTATAACACACATTCCCAGAATCTGTATCAGGAAACTGATGCACAGACTTGTGAAGGTTGGCACACAGGACTATGGTCAGATTTCTGTTCAACATCTGAAAGGCCCATTGAGGCTTCCTGAAAGATTAACAGAAAGATACCAAAAGCCTCAAGTCTCTGTTTTGCTATCATGGTCTTATTTTTTTAATAGAAGAAAAGATTCTGAACCTTAAAGAGCTTCCCCTTATTCAAGTCCATGCATCAGATGTCTTGGTCTACAACTGCTGTCAGTCCAGGGCAGGCAGAAGTAGTGATGGGCCTGCACACTGCCAAAGATACCAGGTGCCAATTCCAGCCCAACTGGTCACTTGTCTATCAAGATTTTAAAGTGACTGCATAATGCCCTTTACCCAATAGATTCTGAAGAGTAATTATGAACAACAATTTATTGCATTGTATTTATATAAGAAAACACATGCTTGATCACAGATTGTAGCAGTAACAATAAAATGAGGGCCCAACTAAAAACCAAAGCAGACTTGGGTCTTTCTCAAGGTGCCTGGGAAACCAGAAATAGTACCAATAGAAGAGAATATATGTAGCTCAGGGTTGAGCTATGGAGTCCTTGGTGCTCTCTAAGCTTGGTTGTTTGATTGCAGATGTTTCATTACCTGACTAGGTAACATCATCAGTGTTAGCGAGTGTGGGGTTTTCTCCCTGTTTATATATAGTAGCTTGCCCTGCCAGTGTTGGTGGGGGTGTGGCTTTCTCCTTGGTAGTTCCTTGCTTGGTATTGCTTTCTGCTTGATTGTTTGTCTTGTGTTAATCCCTGCTTATCTAGGTGTAGACTGCTGGAAAGGATCTGTTCTGGTCTTTTTGTTTCCTTCTTAGCATTCTTATTGTCTCTTTTGAATGGTGTGTAAATGTGGTTTATCTCTATGTGTCTATTGATGGCTGTGTTTGAGTGCCCAGCTTCCAGGAATTTCCTAGCGTTTTTGGTTTTAGCTTGGTCTAGGATGATTCTTATTGTCTCTTTTGAATGGTGTGTAAATGTGGTTTATCTCTATGTGTCTATTGATGGCTGTGTTTGAGTGCCCAGCTTCCAGGAATTTCCTAGCGTTTTTGGTTTTAGCTTGGTCTAGGATGCTCACAGTTTTCCAGTTGAAACTATGGTTGAGTCTGTCTATGTGTTGTGCGATTAAGGAGTTTTCATTGTGTCTTCTGACTGCTAGTTGGTGTTCGTGGAGGTGCTCTGCTAGTCTTCTGCCTGACTGTCCTATGTAGTGGCTGTTACAGTCCTTACACTGTATGTTGTAGGTGACTCCTGTTTTTTCTTGTTGGGCTAGTAGGTCTTTTGGTTTACTTAGGATGTTTTTGAGAGCTTTAGTTGGTTTGTGTGCTACAGTGATGCCATGTGGTTGTAACAGTCTGTTGGTTGTTTCTGAGATGTTTCTGATGTATGGCAGTGTTATTCTTTTCATAGCTTGTGTTGATTGTGCTGTAGTGGGTTGAGTGGTCAGGCACTGTTTGATAAAGTTGTGTGGGTATACATCTTGTTAGAAGATGTTGTATAGGTGATCTGTTTCCTTTTTCTTAGTCTATCAAAAAACAACCCCCACTAATTAAGTGCTCCATTGTCAAAGTAACAATCCAACTTCCCATAAAAGGAGTTGTGTAGGAACATTATTCAGATGAGCACAAATGCACTGCAGCAACACAGAACACCAGAAAAAAGAAATAGATCACCTATACAAACAATCAAGTAGAAGACAATACCCAAATCAAGGAACTACTAAGGAGAAAATCACCCCCACCAACACTGGCAGGGCAAGCTACTGTATATAAAGAGAGAGCAAACCCTACACTCACTAGCACCGATGATGTTACCTAGTCGTATAATGAAATGTCTGCAATCAAACAACCAAGCTCAGAGACCACCAAGGACTCCATAAAACAGAAATGGTTTAAAACCGGTAGTTAGTCTACCTCTTTATGGAGAACATCCCATAAACCAGGCATTGTTCCCACCCACTCCCCAAGCACCCTCTTCTTTTGTTCTTTCTGTTATTGTTTTCCATATTTTACTTTTGTTAAGGAAAAATCAGGAAGAAGAGCTTCAATAGGAGATTTCAAAACACGGACAGTCTGGAAGTCTTTATGAATTTTGGTCCCAAGCCAGTCACATTCACTTGAAGTGGGAGCGGGCAAGGGGATAATCAATCCCGCAGATCCAGCTGCTCCGAGATTTGGAAATGGGGAAGGAGAGTTGTGCCAGCTGCTATACTACGGATGAGGAGTGAGGGAGCATTACATTGATACTTTCCTTCATCCCACCCATTGCTTCTTCAGGGGGAGGGGTTGACATGGGGAGGGGGCATTTATACAAATAAGCAACAACCTCAGATCTCTTTGGATTGGGCAAAGAATCACAGTCTTGGGACAACTCTCCTTTCTAAAAAAGAGCTATGTATTTTTGACTCTGGAAAGCTAGCATGACATACAGCACTGAACACTCTGTTTCCCTGAAGAAACCTCCCCTTGAGAGCTGCGAAGCTCTGGCAGAATTTTATATCTCCCTACAGAGTCTGGCAAGTGGTAAACAATGCCTTCATGTTATTGCTGTGTATAGTCCAGCTGGGATCTGCCCACGGTGCAGAATGGAAAGTGGGGGTGGGGGGGAGAGGGAGACAAGAGAGCAACAAGAATATTCATGTATCCTCCTGCAAAAGGCAATTTATATTTTTAGCTGGGCACTCTCTCTCTCTCTCTCTTTAGTAGGTTTCCTAATGAAAGTTCAGTTTCTCAGTTTCCATAGAAACACTTCTTGTTAAGGTGCATGAATAATTTCATAAAATCAGCAGAGATTGAGGGAACATTAGAAATGTGTGCGTGTGTGTATGTGTGTCACAAATAATTGACAGCACCACCCTATTGCCATTTCAAGTGAAAGTAAAACTGTTATTCAGTTTTGTTTTGATAAATAAAGTATTTTCTCAAATCGATGTAGAAATCAAAATCAGTTGTGAGGCTTTTAAATACCCTGGGGCTTTTAAGATTCCTTCTCCCCACCCTCTTTTCACTCAATCGTATCTCAGGGTGGGAAAGAATTTCCCAGTGTTGGTAAAAGCATAAGATGATCTTCTGGGCGGATGAGACAAAAGGCCCATCTAGTTCAGCATTCTGATCTCAGAAACAGGCCAGAATAAAGACCAGCACTCTTTTCCACTGCTGCCCATGAACAGCTGGCATTCAGGGACATGTTGCCTCTAAACCTGAAGCCTCTATTCAATTATCATGAAGAACGCCACCCTCTATTTCCCTTTAAAGCTCCCCAAACCAGCAGCGACTAGAAATGCCAAAAATAAATTAGGTCTCTGTATGAAAAAAGTATTTTATCCAGATAATGCTATTTTCTACCTGTTAGTCATGTGCAGGGATTTCTCTAGGCCTAGGCAACCTAAGCAGTCACCTATGATGCCAAATTTTAGGGGGCACTGAAATTGACAAGACTTCCAAAATACACAATATGAGTATAAAATCTGATAATCTTTCCTTGTTGCTTTAAAATTTTTACACTTTTCAAAAACACATATCCACAAAATTGGCCAAGTGGTAGTGAACAGCCCACTACCTAGACGTTGCAAGTCACGAAAAAGAAATTATTATTATAGCTAGGGACCCCAGGAAGCTGATAATATTACTGAAGCAAGTCAAAGGTCTGATAGGAAGATCCTGAGTGAGCAAGTCACGCAACTATCAGCTTATCAAAGTTGGAAAAGCAGTAATGGCGCACTCTGTGTGTCAGTGCACCTGCTTGAGGGTTAAATATAATTTTGCAGAATTGTTGCCATATGACAACAATGAGTGTTGATGTAATTAAAATTACTGTGATACACAGTAAATAGGGTGAAAATGTCCAAGAAAAGAGAAAAATTGTCCATGGCTGAAAATCATAAGCGTAAAGCTCAAAAACTCAAAGAAAAAAGGAAACAAGACGGTGCCTTTCTGAAATTCCTAACAAAACTGGAAGATGAGCCAAAACCTAAGGGGTGCCAGAATATGACTGTGCCTAGGGAGCCAAAATGTCTAGAGCCTGCCCTGGTCACATGGAGTTCAATGACTGTCCTGGCAACAAGTTGCCACAGATGACCCCAAATTCTGTATTGTCTACTTTTCAGTGATACACAAATGGGCATCCTAGTTT